GAATTCATACACACACAAATTATAATTTTTATACTATTAACTCCTTATTAGTTTTATGCATTTTATATCTATTATGCTAATTTATTCTTTTTTAATAGAAATTTTTAATTTTTGAAATAATACAAATTAATATTTCAAGTTTAATTAAACTGGCATTTCAAAATAACTAGCTATTGTGATCAAAATTTCAATACTTTCAAAATAAAATTGATATATAAGAGAAACAGATTTCATAAAGTTATAAAAAAAACACAAAATTAAAAACTTGCTGTACATAACCTTTATAATAAGAATTATCTTTATCTACTGTACATATTTAATATAAAAAAATTTTAATACAAATGCAAATCTAGATCAAAACCCATGTATAATTAGTTATATTGTTTCTTTTCTCCACTTTCAAATAAAATATAATTTTAAATAAAGATTATCTAGATTAAACATTCTTGAAGATATTTTTGTGAATAATTCATACAAGAGATTAAAAAATTTAAGAAAATGCCTAAAACAATACAGGAATTTTATAAAATATAAACTAAAAAATAAAAAGATATGTAATTATGGCATTTATTTAACTTGTAAAATTCTGTAAAACTTAATAATATGTTTTGAATATTTATTCATGGAGACATGATTAAAACAAGTAAAATGGCAAGGCCATATTTGGGATAAGACTATATCTTGGAGACTTACTACTAAGTGGAATCACTTCAATGCTCATGGCAGGTCTCGTTCTCATTCTCCAATCTTCTTTGGTATTGCTGGTTTTGAGTGTGATCATTCAAACTTCACAGGTCTTGGCCATGGCCACAAGGTTGTCCACAAGGCATTTTCAATGAAATTAACTTATCCAATGTCAAATTCAACTCCGTTGTGTGCCACCCCGGGTTGAATTTTTGTCAATGCCTAACGAAAATTTCCCATTTTTGAAAAATAATCGTGGCTATTGTATTGTCCGAAATTATTTTTTTATTTGCACAAACGAAATACAGTAGAGCATCGATTATCCGACTCAATTGGGGACTGGAGTTGGTCGGATAACTGAAAAAACAGATAACCGAAAACTATGAAAAAATATACTAATATACTATACTAATAATGTATCCTATGTAATTAGTATATTAGTACAGTGGTGCTTTGTATAACGTATGCCTCGAATAATGGACACTGCAAATAACAAACTTTCTGTTTGGCCGTTACGTGACTTGAGCAACGGACTGGCTGCGGACAATGGACTTTCCGTTCAGCAGTTACGTAAGGAGACCAATGGACTTTCTACGAACAAGTGCGAATGATGTTTCCACTCATTTGCCGTTGCCAATGACAATCTGCTATTTTTATAATATATTAGTATTATTAGAATATATTATAAGTATATCTGAAGTACAGAGCTCCTGTTGGGATTAGGCTTGCTCACTTGTTTATTACGTACATCACCTCAGTGCAGGGTATTTACATTTATTCAAGTGTTGTGCAAATCATGGCTTCTAAAAAAACAGAAAAGTGATTTCAATTGAAACAATGCAAGAAATCATCAGAAGGAGTGAAAGTTGACAAAAACTTCCTTGTCAAATGGGGAGAGGTTCAGGAGTTTACCAACACTCATTATCCAAACAGAGCTGAGGCCAACAGGATCAATGATCTCTACAATGACACCCTTGCCCATCATTTCCGACAGGTGTTGAAGAAGAGAGAGGAACAGACCACCTTGGACATGTTTTTCAAGAAGCCAGCAGGGAAAAAACAAAGGATGGAACAAGAGGAGTTGACCCTGCAAGCTCCAGTAGCCTCTGCTGAATCTGACTCCGATTAAAAAACAATAAAAAGAGACCTGCTGCAATGTATTTGTATCTGTATGAATGTGTGAAGAAAGTGTTTCTCCATCTCAACATCTGACTACCCTGCATAATTGGTGACTGCTCCATTTTCATTTTTTTTACAGTACAGTATGGTTATTTTATGCTGCAGAACGAATTATATGTTTTAACATGTTTTAACATTCTATGGGAAATGCGTTTCGTATAACGGACTATTCACTTAATGGACGTGCACCTGGAACGGATTAAGTACGTTATACGAGGCACCACTGTATAATCGCTATTAGTCTACTTTGCATTGAATTTTCATCGATGTTAAGCCAAACTAAAATTTTTTTAAAATAATAATTGTCGCTATTGTATCGTTAAAAATTATTTTTAATTAATTTTTTTTATTGCTCACAAAACAAACAACCACTCATAATTAGAAAATTAAGCCTCGTTTAAATACTGGTCTCCCTTTCATGGTCGAGCCAATGTTGCCAGTTAAAACACACAAAAATTTAACAAAAATAATATGAAAGTAGCCAAGATATAGCCAAATATTGCAGCATCTAAGTTAATTTTTTACAAAATATTATTGCAAATTTTTATAATAAGATTTTAAAAAGCAAAGATGGTCATACTCCGATCACTCAATCTGGTTCTTATTTTAGTAATGAAAAGTCATGCTACAGAGAATGCCCTTTCTGATTCAATTGATGTGAGTGGAATTGTGTTTAATGCATTTAAGAGAAGACAGATGTTTTTTCACCTATAGCCTGGAAGATTTCTAATTCGTTTGAGATTGTAGTACTTCTTTTGCTATCTAGTATTCTTGATTTGTCTACTTAGGCTGCTTTAATAGAAACATCAAGCTTATAGCCCAATAATTCAGCAGTTCGTTCATCTTTAATAATCAGGTTTATGAAGAAAACTTCATACTCATTTGTATCCTTGTCCAATTTGCACAACCTGGCATCATACAGTTATTCAAGCTACTGGGCATGGTTAAAAATTAAGACAGCACAAGCCCAACTATTCTAGATAAAACAGGTTCTGACAAATAAATAATTTTCAGAGTCCTGCCACAAATAAATTACGTATTGATTATTGACCATTTGTGATATGTCATAACAAGCAACAATTTAATACAAATGTATTCTGACAGTTTATGAGTTAATTATACTTTCTATTTGCAAAATTTCCTCAACCTTAACACAAAATAAGAAAAAAGTGAACTTTTAAGAAATTTGCGGAATTTCCTGGGATGAGAAAAATTTCCCGTGACATTTCCTGGGTTAAAAAAAACAACTGGGACCCCGTTTGAGAAACCCTAGTCAAGAATAACATAGGACAGGTAAATGAGTTTTTTTCAAAGATTCATTTGTGTCAAAATTCTATTTCACAACATTTGCATTTCCAACTTCCCAATGAGCAACACATGCGCAAATCTCACACTAGTGCCTGTTTGTAGAAAGTGTGTTGCTATTTTGTATTTTATTTTGACTCTGTTCTCATTCCTCTGAGTACCTACAAGTCTGATTTTTTTTTTTTTTTGGTGCATGATTTGGGCACCTAATACTCTGTGCCAAATTGCAACTCTTGACATGTACTCCATACTTCTAAGCTGGTAAGCCATGACAGCACTGTGATTTCATAAACAAGACAGTCTTGTCAATTATAGAAAATATACATATAATCATTCTAAGAAATAATTATTATGTATGCATGTGTATAAATATATATGACTAATTTTAGAATCTGACAGATGAAAGAAAATATTCTCACTGCACAAATTGATATTCATATTGTCCCTTTCTTGATTTACAATTAATGATATGAAGAGTAAAACAATAGATTTTTGAAGAAAATGAAATTTGTTGAATTTATTAGGACCAGAGTGATTTAGTTATATAGTAAATTATTTAAAATTTATTATACTCTAAAATCTGTTTATTATAAAAAGTCAATATTTTAATTTAACATCTCATAAGGCAAAATGTTTGCAAGTATTTTGCCTAATAAGATGCTAACTTACAAAATAAATATATTTAAAAGTCTTTTAAGCTTCTTAAAAATGGTTTACATTTCTTTAAAACTTTTAAATATATTTGAATTATACAACTTAAGTGTTTTAAGCAGTTTAATTAAAAAAATAATAATAATTTTGTTTCTGAAAAAGATTAGTATGCTTTTGAAGAATTAACTAGACTAACAAAAATATGTTATTCAATACTTTTAAATGTTTACTAATCTTGTTTAGAAGAAATGAGAACAGAATAGCTTAAAATAATTTTTATGATAAAAGGGAAATATTTTAATTTAATTTAATAAAATAAACTGATAATAAATGACAAAGCTTCAAGAAAGTTTAACCAAGATATTATTTAATGCCATAACATTTATTATTTTTCAATAATTAATATTTTATGATCACATCACTGGCACATCACTCTTTTTAAAATCTACATTTAAGAATATATATTGATACATTTTCTGATGTATCTAGTCATTTAATAAATATGTCTGAATATTTAATAAAATCAAGATTTTTTTAATATTAAAGATATTTTGAAAATATCAAAAGTAATCCTGTATTTAATTAAATGCAAAAAAAAATTCATTGGAATATAACTTAGCCCAATTATAACAGTAAATTTTAAAACATTTTGATTTAAATTACTTAAAGTATTTATATATTTTATTCTAATAATTTGATATTCACGTATAATTCATAAATGTAGTAAAAGATTTATATATTAGATATTTATGATCACTAAAAGAAAGTTTGTAATTAAGCAATTAGTTTAAAAATGTAAATTATTTTTAAACTAATTTTGAAAAGTTATTTAATTTTAATAAATACTTGAAAGGAATTTTAACTAAAAGAATATTTTCTACCATAAATTTAACAAATAAAATTAAAGAAATTAATAGATATTGTATAGTAAATAAACAAAAATAAATCTATGTTCTTAAATATAATATTATNATATCCCTTTAAATCAAAAGAATCCAGGTCCAACCATTATAATTAACATTTATTATAACAAAAAGGACATTTTTATGAGCATAAGTTAGACACAAAAATTTAAAATTGGGCAAAGTGATTTTTGTTTTTAATCTTCCCTCTTATTTATGTATCAGAAATCACAATATTTTTCCAAAATGCCTTGGCTAATGTATGTGATGTCTTCTTACCTGTGTAAAGAACTCTGCTAATCATACCAGGCATGACAATGATAAATAAAGGAAATATCTTCAAGTATCCAGCAAATAATGTGCCACCTTGTGCATGTGACAAAGACTTGGCTGCTAACATTCGTTGAACCATCATCTACAGCATTATATAAATACCCATAATTAAAATATCTATTATGAATGCCCTTTAATTCTGGTTAGTAGGAGACATTTATGGTTAATAAACATTTTATGATTATTAGTATTGTACCAGTATTAGATTTTGTCTAATATCAAATACCAGCATTAATTGTGATAATTATTAGTGCACTACAGAGTGAAATAATTGTGATTATTAATATATTAAGTTTTATTACAGTATTAGTTTAATATATATATTCATTATGAAGTACTTACCTGATCAGCACACCAATACCAAATTGATGCCGGAGTCTGACCTAGTAAAAATCCTAGCCATGGCATTTCTGGATCATTATATGGACGTAACATTTGCCATGAATTAGATTTAGGAATTCCACAAGTGGCATTAGGAATCAGTTTTGTAGGAATAGCTTCCATATATTTCTCTCTTAATCCATCATAGCCTCCAACTTCAACAAATGCTGAATATTAAATTTTAATTTCATTAGTGTGCTTCAACAAATCAATTAATAATAATAACTAATAAATATAATGAAAGATTAAGCATCTGTCAATCTGTCACTGGCAAAAAAATATTGATGCTTATAAAAATAATTCTAGTTATAATCTATGCTTAAAAACATTAATTAATTTCAACAAAATTAAATTTGTATTAATATATTCCTAAATAATGTTATTATGAAAAAACATAAAAAACAATTATTTTTAATAACATTATATTAAATCAATTCATATTGAAAAATAAATATAGAAGCTTAAATTATTTTTCTTAAACACAGTTGTTTCAAAAAAACATTTTTATATTTTGTCCATATCTTACATAAACTATTATTATTATTATTATTATTATTATTAAAAAATATAAAAATTTATTGCTATTTTTGAATTTTTTCTCTTCTTTTCTTATTTAGGAACAATAAAGAGAATTTTTTTATTAAGTATTCATTTGTGAAAATTGCCACCTAGAATCATATCTTTCAAATAATTATAGATGTTAATTTTTAAATTTAGCTGAAATTTTAACATTTGAATATTTAAAATATTTAATATAATACAACTTGATCCTCATACCAAATATTAAATAGCAGGAAGGAAAACTCACTGAGCGTACTTAGTTTTTCCCTTAGTTTTTTTATATTGCTAGCGCTTTCAACAAATGTTTATCATTGTCAGGCAAACAAAAATTTAACACATATTATTTAAATTAAAAGTAATAATGAATGGAACACATATTATTTAAATTAAAAGTAATAATGAATGGAACACATATTATTTAAATTAAAAGTTTTAGAATTAAAAACCATTATGAACAAGCTACAAAATTCAATTATGTTCAATATTATGATGCGATGCAGCATGTGTGGATGAAGATCCACATTAATGGTGTGACAGTCTATGTAAATTGCTGTTTAACTGTTTACATAGGGCAACCCAAATATTGAGCAGGTCAAGTGTGGGAGTGTTGCATGGTTCTGAGGTTGTTGTGAGGAAAGTTTTAAATTTTTGTTTGCCTGACAACGATGAACATAGGTTTATTGAAAATGCTAGAAATATAAAAAAACTATTAATAACGCCATACTCAGTGAGGTTTCCTTCCTGCTATTAAAAATATTTAAGTTATTAAAAGGTAAAATCATAGTCAATTAAATTATCCTAAAAATTCTGAAACAATTGATTAATTTTACTATATTATGATAACATACTTGTGTATCTTATTACTGTGAATACTATGAGAAACAAAATTTTATCAATTTACAATATTTCAAATGATGTCAATTGATATAATTTAATATGAATTGCATAAACACAATATACTCAAATAACTAATTTACAGCAATGCTCTTCATAGAAGCTTTGTAGATTTCTAGCTTTTTCCAGTCTGTAATATGAAGTAAAATGCAGGTCTCATTGAGAGACATGGACAAAGTTTTCAGCTGCAAATACAGCAAGAGTAGTAGTTGGAAAGCCCTTTTTGATGGAACTCTTGTGCTCTTTGATTTGTAGGTTAAGAGAACATGCCATTGCTTCTATGTATTCCTATTTTTGATAAATTTGTAGAGTGGAGTACATCCCAGGAAGAAATTCCTTGTCAGTGAGGTCCTTGACATTACTTAATAAGGAATATATAGAAGGGTTTCTTTTGTCTACAATTTTGATATTATTGGTCTTCACTATTTTCCTTGTAAACCTTTGTCAGATGTTGGTTGTATCTGTTGACCCTGTATATTTTATCAATCCTCCTACATGTAGAAGGGAATTGATATTTATTAATCAAACTCTTAATGAAATTTGCAGAGTATCCATGCTCCTTTTCAATGTGTGAGATTTAATTCAGCTCCATAAGTTGGTCCTGGATGTTGGAGGAGAGTGTAAATGCTCTTACCCTGAAGACAACAGTTTTGTAATGGTATAAATCCCAATATTTTAATAGGATGAAAAGTTACCAATAGAAGGTTTTCTGAATACTTTAGTAGAAGTAAAGTCTTTGTGAAGAGTTAATTGTATGTTCAAGAAGTGAGCAGAGTTGCAACTTTGCTGTTCAACTTGGAGGTGGAGGCAGTAAGGATTTTTGTTAAGGCATTTTTTTAACTTGCATCAAGTCAGGTTTCTGCCACCAAATTATAAGATCATCATTGATATCCCTTTAAATCAAAAGAATCCAGGTCCAACCATTCAACTATATTAGAATGAAGTTTGTGTAAATCATAGGCGTGTTTGAAGAGGAAGTCCTGTAGTTTTCAAAAGCATGATTCAATTTTGGTGGAAAGACACAGATTTAAAGTCACAGACTGTTTGATAAACTGATAAACTTTTTATTGACCAGGGAGATGTTAACTAGCTGATTCAGTAAGGATTCCAATTTCATTACTGTACAATAATTGTTTGTCAAGGTTGGAGGTTATAAATTGATTGAGGTTTCTTTCAATTTTGATTGAAGAAGAGACAGACTTGTTAACCACTGGACATAGTTGAATATCCTGCTTGTGTACTTTGGCAAATGCAAAGATCCATGGTGCTAAATATGTTGGAATGGTGGTCTTTTGCATGTTTAAGTGAAAGCTGAGTGTTGGTCAACTTACACTTCAATTTTATTGCTTGATATCTTTGGTTTTTGATGTATTTATTTTAAAATGAATTATTTTGAATGAATATCATCTCTTTTACCATTAATATATTGTATCAATTGAAGAACTGTTTTTTATTTTCAACATCTGCTAGCATAATTTCAATTATCTCAATTCAGATCATTTCAATTTAAATGATTCTAATTATCCTGTTTTCATTAGAGATACCTAAGCAGAATATAGCTTTATGACATTGTGATGGGATGAAACTTGTTTTCTATTGACCAGTGTTGGATTTTTTATATATAATTCTGTATTAAAGCAGATTACTCATAATAAATATGTGCAGTTACAGGACATTCAAGTATTAAATCGCTAATAAATTTTCTCTTTTGATCCCCCATTATCACCAGTCATCAGAAATCAAAGTACCTCCTTCCCCTAATTACTGTATTTTATGGACTATAAGAAGCACTTTTTTCTTTGAAAAATTGCCTCCAAAATTCAGGTGCATCTTATACTCTAAATTAATATAAAAATCTCCAGTGTTTGATTTAAAATTCCTGCCAGTCTTAAAAATGGCCATATATTTAATGCCGTGGGAAACCTCTCTCTATCTGGCAACATTGAATTCAACTGGCAGCAGCAGTGCACCGATGCAACGAACATGGGTGTGTTCTTTTATTCCTCCATGTAACTCCACTTGAGCAACATCCATTTAAAAATTCTTGCGGAATGTGTTCCTAAATTCCAGTCAGAGTGCGCCCTGTTGAATGGCAAAAATGGCCATTTGTAGCAGTAGTTTGCAGTGGAAAGCAACATGGTGTCCTCCATGGCTCAGATAGTTTTGTTTCGGAGTCCATTATGTGGTTTTATGAATGAAAATTTAGAAATTGTAAAAGCGCAAGTTAGTGCACTCGATGTACAGTAAGTGTCTTTTCAAATTTTTTTCGGATGGTAGCCGGCATTCTAATTTTTTTCGTGGCTATTTTGAATGCTCTTTCAACAAATAATCCATTTTATGGTTAAATTTTACAGTTGGGACTCTTCTTTTGATTTTAAAAATTCATATTTTAGAATTACAATATTTTTGTTAGTAGCTAACAAAAATAATGGTAAAAATGTTATTTTTTAAAAAGTTGATTAAAAATTAAGGTGCATCTTATAGTCCATAACATCTTATAGTCTGTAAAATATGGTATGTCATCAAATTAGGAGTTTAAATCATTCACAAATACACAGGATTTATTTTCAGATAATTTTGTGATGACTGGGATAAAAAGTAAACAGGTGCAATCTTAATTATGTCATCAAAAGATAACCCTCCTCCTCCATTGTCAGCAACCTCTCCATAAATTGCTGACATAATACCTGAATGGTCCCTTATAGTTACATTAGGTCATAGTATGGTAATTCAAAATGAATGACATCAGAGTTATCTCAAACAGAAAACAAAGAATGAATTACTTCCAAAAATCTGTCATTGGTTTTGGTTGCTTTTCATGATCTGTCCACTCCCATTCTCTTGAAACATTTATACAAGATCCATTTTTGATCTCCTCTTACTAGTTGCTCAACATAAGGCTCAAAATATATATGCTCACACATTGCTGCTGATAGCTCATGCAATACCTATTTTTCAAATTTAGATATGTACAATATCTTCTGTGTTTGTTGCAGTTAATGATGAATAATACCATGAGAGTAATTTAGGCATTCTGCAATTTCATCTAACATGAAATATGATTCTGCTTTGACAAGGTGGAAGAGTATCATTGTCAAATTTGTTGGGACATTCAGAATGGGACCTATCTTCAATACTAAATTTTACTCTTAAATCAAAAGAAAATTTTATCTCCAGCTCTTCAACAATTGTGTTTTTCACCATGAAAAAGGCAAAAACTCCAACTTGCATGGATTAAGTTTGTTGGTTCTCAATAATACAAAATTAGTTATCGTCATCCTAACATAATCAATGGATTAGCTCAACTTGTTATAAGAAATCTCACATTTTGATATTAAATCATCATCTTATGTGTAAATAAAAACTACACTAGGTGCTGCTAATTGTAATCACTTTGGGACTTACATAAACTAATACACTCATATCTGCTTAAAAGAGCACTCTGAGAATTGCTGCATCATGCTATCTTATGTGGTGTAAGGTAAGATCACCCAGAGGATTGTTTACAATACAGTCGACCCCCCTATAACACTGTTGATTTTTCCATTTTATATGAATTCCATGTTGTACGAGTCACTTAGATTTTACAAATACGTGTGCCGGGCTGTGAATGGCCCATGTATTTATAAAATCTAACCAACTCGTACAACATGGAATTTGTAAAAAACGGAAAAATCAACAGTGTTATAGGGGGTATTTGAATCTCTCATTC